TTCCCTTCTTGCTCCTCCGTTGGGGGAGGAATGGCATCAGGGGTCTGGGAGCCAGTATCTCCAAGCAGCTTAGAGTTGGCCTTATTTACCTCAGCCTGGGCGCTAGTCCTTTCTTCCGGCCCCTCCCCTCCAAAATGTGCCTATTGCTAGAGCTCCTCCCTCTCAACACCCAGTTTCCTTGGGAGTTGTCATTAAAGGAAAAAAAAAAAGCCAGTGCCCAGGGATGGGTGTCTCCAGGGAGCTGAGGATTAGCGCCAGGCAGCTCATTGCCAGCCATGCCCACTTCCCTGCGGGCACCAGAACAAGCCAAAGCCTTCGTTGTATGTTGACGATGCACTTTTATGAATGTAGTTTCTATCGCTGTTTTTAGCCTTTTCACATCATGTAATGTGAGGCCTTGTACTTGTTAATTTATATCTCAGATCATATTTGGTGGTTTATATATATCACTTCTAGACTGTTACAGGTGATGGACGCCTCGAGAGACAGAAAAATGAAAGCAGGTTTTGCAGGAATGTGTTGCACGGTGCCAGTTAGGCCTGGGCCCATTTCCATCCTTTTCTCCTGGGGGTGTTTGTTAGGCACCCCCAGCCCGGCCCTAAGACAGCGAGCATATGCTCCTGCCTCCACCTCGGCCCTTGCCCAGGGTGGGGACCAGTCCCTCATCTCGACCAAAGCTGCGTAGTGGCAGCTCGGCCTCTCCACGACCCTGTCCTGATGGCTCCACCACTCTTCTTGGGCCCACACCCCTGTCCTGTCTCCATTTCCCAAGAGGAAACAGCATGCACAGTGCCGGAGCTGACAAGACGAGACGACTCTGTGTCCCAGGTTCAGGCTCTCACAGAGCCCCGCTCCCCCTGCCCCAGGGTCTTACCTCACAGGGAATGTGTTTTTAAAAATTAATTTGCAAACAAACCAACAAGCCATGCACTCAAAAAAGAAAACCAACAACCAAGACCCTGATATTTGTGCCAAAAATGTGGACATGCTGGCTCAGCATCCTCAGGACCAAGCTATTGCTTAATTTTAATTTATTATTAAATAATCCAGTTGAAAAGTTGTGGGCTTAGAACGGCCTGGGTCCAAAGGTTCTGAAGGGCAGTTCCCAGCAGCTCCAGGTTGCTGTGGGAAGGGCCATGTGCCATTTGCTCATCATTCCGTGGGGGTATGTCAGCCTTGGCCAACCCAGCAGAGGCCAGGGCTGGGGAGAGTCTGCCCTCTGCCACCCTCCTGCCCCTCCCACCCACCTCAGCTCTGTGTCTGTGTCTGAATTGTGGGTTGTGCAGAAGAACCTGCAGCCATAGTTATTTGACTATATCTTGACCGAGGGCTTGCAGAGCAAAGCCAGGCCAGTGTCGTGCATTACTTAAATAAAAAGGGATCATTTATACCCAAGGGGTCCCGTGACAGTGCTTTGGGTTGCAGGGTGGAGGGAGCAGGTGTTTCCCTGGGAGGTGCCAGGCATAGTGCCTGTTAACAAATTTGGGCCCCTGAGAACTTGAACTGACTCCAAGAGGGAGTCCTGGGATGGAATGACGTGTCTGGTACCACTGCTAGCTGAGATGGCACCTCCCCTTCTCGCTTCCAGGGGCTCTGCTGATGGCAGTTCTGTGAGGGCTGATTTACCGACATGTCACTGGCAGCCCCCACTGTCACCAGTGGCTGGGTTCCAGCCCAGGGGTTTTCCCTCAGTCCCATTCTTTCAAGGCCGGAATCAGGTGCCTCCAGGAGCCGTCTCTCTGGTATCTCCCCCTGGTCTGAGGCTGTTGCTTAGTTCTGGGCAGAGAGAGACAATCCTTGTCCCTATCTGAAGCTCCTGATGCAGAAGTCGGGCCTGCCTTGAGTGAGGCTCTCGGAGGACCCATTCTGCTGCTTCAGGGGGCAAAGTCTACTTCACAACAGTGGTCCATCTGCCACCAGAGCTAGAGGCCTCACTCTCTACCCTGTCCTAGGGGCATGAGGCCACTTAAGAACTTGAGTATATGGGGCAGTGGCAGCAAGTCCCCAGGAGCCTGCCCTCTTGCTCTACCTTCTTACATGGCTCACAGGCAATTTGGGGAAATGGTGACAGCTGGGTCTGGGGTGGGACAACCCAGACTTCTTGCCTCTATTGGGTTTGGGGGTGGTTTTGGGTCCTCCCAAGCTTGCCTTGTTGTCCCTCAGAGGGGGCAGGCAAGCTGTTTGGACTACCTGGGACAGTGACCATGGCTGCCCCACTCATTGGAGCTTGAAAAGGCAGGGTGAGATCTGCTGATTCTCTCCATCCCTTACTGATTCCAGGACAAAAGGGGCCTGGACCAGGGCTCAGCAAAGGGTTCTGCTTTATACCCCAACATATTGAAGTGCAGTGAAGTCAGGCACTATCACGCACTGATGGCCTGACCCTCTTAACCAGGGGTCCTCAAACTACAGCCCGCGGGCCACATGCAAATACAAATATTGTATTTGTTCCCGTTTTTTTACTTCAAAATAAGATATGTGCATAGGAATTTGTTCATAGTTTTTTTTTAAACTATAGTCCGGCCCTCCAACGGTCTGAGGGACAGTGAACTAGCCCCCTGTTTTAAAAGTTTGAGGACCCCTGCTCTTAACCAACACCAAGGTGAAGGACAGGAGTTTCAGTTATAAATCCAGAGTGGTTGGACAGCATGGAGACCTGGCTGGGAAGAGGACACCCTTTTTCTCAGGCTGACTGGTATTTCTGATACCCATCACTGTCCCCCATCAAGGCCAGATGCGCTCTGAGCTGACCCTGCCCTCCCCCCTTCACCTTTGCATGACGAATGTGTCCCTGTCCCCCTTAACCCCCCAGCCAGTCAGACCACATAATACAGAGTCAGGATCTGTTGAAACATGTTTAAAACAGGGTTGATCACAAGTCAGAACCAGCAGGAAGAAGGGAGTGTGGCCCCCGCCAGATCCCTGCCGGTCTCTGTGGCTCTCAGCCTGGCAGGTGCTTTAGCTTCTGCTGCTTGATGTGCACGGGTGGTGTGCGATGGTCCCAAGCCCCACTGGGGCGTGCCCTGCCATTTCCCTCCCCTCCCCCACAGAGCCCTGGTGGACCTGCGAGGCCGCGCAGAGGCACTCCGGCTCTCCTTCCTCCGAAGTCTCCATGGCTCAGAACCAGGCTAAGGACAGAGGTAGATGGGGAGACAAAGGGGCCCGCAAGGGCCCCAGGTGGCAGTGAGGGAGCTTAGGACCCTGAGGGGGGCATGCTGACTCCTTGCTGGAGCAAAGGCACCTAGATAAGGAAGCTGGGCTTGGGGGCCTCCCAGGGAGCCAGGGGGTGCGGTGGGATAGGGTGAAAGAAGCAGGAAGCAGGGTGGTGAGCAAACCCCAACCCTGGTTCCTAAGTCACCACCCACTGAGGGAAAATGAAGGAATCCCGGAGCAGAGCCCTGCCCCATAACCCTCTGCTGGAGCAAGAATGCCTCAACCCTTCCCATCCTGTCTCCCCGCGTGAGCCCAGGTCCAATCTCTTTCCACACTTCCCACTGTCCTTGCTCCAGGCTCCCGCAGAGGGCGTGGATGGTCAGAGGGCCTTAGGCTGTCTTGGTGCTGGGGTCCACTTCCTTGTGGGCCCAGAGCTCCTTGTGCTGCTTCCGGCCGAAGCCCTCATCGTAGTTGCCTTTGCTCTTAAACAGCTGCTGGAAGTGGGGTTTGCAGTAGAACTCCCCGTGCAGCGCCGCGTAGTTGCCCAGGCTGCAGAAGCAGAACAGTGTGGTCAGGTCGGGTCAGGGCTGGAGGCGGGCGGGGGCAGGGCAAGGGCGCACCTCAGCTTGGAGTGGCAGTGCTTGCAGCAGAAGCAGGAGTTGTGGAAGATGAGCTTGTCCGCCACCAGCCGCTCCATGGGGTACACGGTCTTCTGGCAGGAGGCGCAGGTTTCTTTCACCTGGGCCCGCAGGCTGAAGGACTGTGGGAGGGAGACTCAGCCCGGGCTCCGACCAACCGACCGGCGCCTGTCCCACCTCCCCCGCGCTTCACTCCCGGTCCTACCTTGGAGCGCTGGACAGTGCTGGGGCCACCGCCGCCTTTGGCTTCCTGAGGGAGAGGGCCAGTCAGGGCAGGGGCAGCGGAGAGAGGCCCCCGACTTCCACGGGGGTCACCAGCCCAGGTCCCGGGGGCACTCGAGGGGCGAGGGGCCAGGGTGGCAGGCAAGC